GGAATGGGGCCGACCCCCGCAATGTAGGCGGCTTTGTACTGAAATCCAGGGGGAATATCCATTTCCGTGTGCTAATCCAAACCATGAGTGTGACCCTGTATTTCCCTGAAATTTGGCACAAAGCCATCTGTATTGCGGGGGCGGTGCTATCCCCCTGCCCTGCCAGAAGAGCACATAGGTGGCCCATGCCAACTTTATAAAGTTACCTTCGCGTTACCGATCGTCTACATGCTCAAACTCATGAGCTGTTGACCAAGGCAGCGAACACAATGGCGCGCGTCAACGCCGAGCCGAAGGTACAACTTCTTTCCTCCTAGCTCTTCAGCTATGCTCCCCTTTATTACTTCCAGTGTTGACTAGTTGGAGCATACATGGATTCCGGATCTTCGATGACTTCTGCTAACGTTGATCGTCCACGTGGTTGCCCACAGCCAACAAATAGCTCAATCTGATGTGGGAATGAGGCACGTGCAAGTACCCTTAGTGCGTTCCGCCTCCTTTTCGCTGGTTCAGGTAGGCCCGGAGACCTCCTGTGCCACCAAAAGGCCGAATTTTCGGTACCCCGTACTTCTGTCCCTAGCTCTGTTGAGCACTTCTACCCTTCCCGGACAGAAGGCGCGATGTTCCCGGAAGTAGTGGTAAATACGAATCATCTTAAGCCTACTCCGCGCTGTGTATCACAAAAACTGCAACAGATGTGATAGACTAATACCAGGTCGCATTTATTTTAAATGTTCCGTTTTGGATAAGAGTGTAGGGGGTTACAGTGCAGCTGATTTTAGATTGACGACAGAAGGGAGATGCAAGGATTTAAGAAGGAGACACGATCGCTGGGACAAGAGCTTTATTAGCCTGGCGTTTCGGATTCCCGCTCAAGCCCACCATCAGAGACAACAGCAGATACGGGTTCATTATGATGGGTTCGAGCAGGAATCCGAGACGTCAGGCTAATAAAGCTCTTGTCCCAGCGATCGTGTCTCCATCTTCAAGACTACTTCCTGGGACTCATCTCTTCGCTTCTAGACGCAAGGATCCTTGCATGCAAGATTTGGAAGTGCCCTTTGAAAGAGCCCTGTCTGTGTGACAGTGAGTAGACTATTTCACAGACCGGAGATAACACTTCCTCCAGGGGAAAGAACAAGGAGGGCGATGCTTCAAAAAAGAGGAAATAGCAGTAGTGAGAACATCTAAAGTTTCTGCACAGGATACACACACATCTGGCCTCTTTTCACTTCCACTTCCCAGCGGGATTTAGGCCCAAGTACGGCCATTACCCTGGTGGCTGCTTTCCGCTCCAGACCAAATGGAGAGAGCATGCGGACATTAACTAACAGATCGCCCTCCTGAAAGCAAAGTCGACTATTTTGAGCCCGAACCCATGAACTGGATGATCAATCAGCTGACATCTAATCCACGTTCGTTGAGTGAAGCGCCTACTTAGCTTTTTCGCAACTTGCAGCGACCCCACACGCCGGGCGTCTGCTGCAGCGCCGAGCTCTCAGCCAATCAACTCTAAGGCCGACCTAGATATGCTCTCGACAAGATCTTATTTCCTTGCCGTACCTGTTAGGGGTCAGGGTTGGGATTAGGCCGTGGCTTGTCTACTGCAGGTACGACTGCGAAGTAAGATCCGACTATGCCCTCTCTTAAGGCGCTCCGACGCCGGCCCGTGGCCCTCGGCGGCCTGATCTTTCGGCGTCGGGTGTGTGCCCCAACCGGCTGCCGACTTGCTCTAACCTATTCCCCATCCATTCTGTGCAGAATGAAATGCTCTCTCTTCCTATTGGTGTCCAACTTCTCTGTCTACCTGTAAATGTGACTGAAGGTCGTAGTGGTTAGGACCTGCCAATGACTTAAGCAATCGCGACAAGTTTGATGCCTCGCTTGTAAATACGAGTAAGGCGTCTAGAGGTTAATGCACCCTGGACGCCGGTTTGGCCTACAAGCAGCACTGCTTAAAAGCGAATAAAAGGGGCTCGGAAGAGCGAGGAAAATGGCTGCCGACGGACGATAGAAATCCCTTGAAAAGTGAAAACGCAGAGGCCCACGCGTACAGATCGCGCACTAGCAGCCAAACACTTCCCACTATGACGGAGACAAAAAGCAGCAGACAAGAAACCCACCAAGTAGAATGACACATGGGACAAAGAAAGGCACAAAAAGTGATCTCATATCTTCCTCTGACTCCTACAGCCCAGGAGGGAAGGCAAAAGGGGGAGGGACAATAAATGGATGCCTATGTCACGGTGGTTCGCCTTCGTCGTTTTCTATGAGAGGGCGCTTAAGGAGGAGGAGGTTGAAAAAGGAGAGATTGAGGGAGGACAGGGAGTGTGATTGGCGGCGAGTGCAGAGTGCAGTGCGAAGGAAATTCAACTAAAAATCAGCCCTGAACCGTGAATGACAAAGAAGACCTTCTCGATGGCACTGATGTAGGCAGCCGTTCGGAAGTCAAGGCCGAGGTTGTAGCGCTCCGCAATGTTCATAGTATTCTGAAATAAGAGGTAACATAATGCGCAGGGCTGGAACCGGCAAGAAATCTTTCGCACTAGCGCGTGTAGTATGCATGCAGAAGAATCTGCGGATATCAGTACATAAGGTATAGTCTATTATTTGGTATGAAAATTAACCGTTGTCCGCCGAGAAACCCAACGGGAGTGTTTGTGAAGCTGTAGAACAGCTTTGAAACTGGAATGTTTGCCAGTAATCACTATTTTATCTAGGCGCCGTGCCATCGAACGCATATGCCCAGGGTAAAAAGTTATTAGATTATAGTTGAGACATCGATTTTTTGTCATACAGAAAAAACTAGGATTGTTGTCAACAAGCTAGATGTTGGAAGATAGCCACTGAGGCGACTTGCGAGAATAGAGATATCCCTATCATTTGGCCATAAGGATGCCTCAATAAACGTTCACAATACGAAGGTTCTAACAAAGTAAAGGTAAGCAGATAACAATCGGAAGGCAGTGCTTACCCTAGATGCTCTTTCCATAGTGTATTCCAGGCCAGAGTGGACAATGTCGCGTTCAGAGGCACCCTAAGACACAGAAAGTCGAAAAAACGCATTCGAAAATAGGGGAGACGATGAGTGATCAGTTAGATGGATAGAATGGGTCGAAGGCGAAACTCACGGCAATTCGCAGACTAAATTTCTCAGTTGGGGTCACTGAAACTGGGCTGCCGAGTTTCCTTTCTAAGGACTTTCCGACGCTGTCTGAAAGGTGAAGGATTGCCAGTGGTAATGAAGAATGAGTAGAAGGGCGTGGATTTTACGATAGCATTGTTATAAACCACAACAGCCACGGGCGCTGTTTACTGCCAGGGTCGTGGTAAAGTCTATAATTTGGTAGCTTGGTAAGAGGAAATCGTGACGGGTGGACAACTCCACCCTCCACTCCTTGGGGAATAACTACGGTAGGCTGCGTGAAAAGTCCAAAGTTCGACCTTAAGAGTCTTCTGCCGAGGGCAGGATGAGGGTTCGTTCCTCGTTTCAACCAAATACACAAACTCCTCTTGAGTTACGACCTCATCCACCAAATGTGAGAGAAGTTGGGAAAACTCTCCGGACAATTTCTGTCCATACCTTCATACATGCATGATAAGTCAGAGGTAGGACTGACTTATATGACCCCCTTAACAGGACACCCGCGTATGAGGAACGCTGGGTAAACATGAGCTCCGAATAAACAGTACAGACATTCCACTTCCCTCTGTCTTCCATTGTCGTCGTTATAGTGTTTTAACCCGCCATGAAAGGGTTCTGACACAGTTGCGCTTGTAGCCAACGGGGTGATTGTTTTTTAAATAGAGGATGCGTCAAATGCTAACTATCTTACAGTAGACCGTTGGCCATGACTTAGCGTCTGCCAATTTTGCTACTTCACATGTAAAAATTACAACTGATTGTTGACCTCTGTCGTATTAAACTATACATCGGAAAAGACGTGGTCTAACAGTGATTTGAAAGCCTTACGTTATTCTTTTGGATAACTGTCAGTGTATCATCGACGTACCTGACCTAGAATGTTTGGGATTTAAAGATGAAGACCAGTCGCTCGAGCCTCTACAGAGTCACTTAAGCAGTTAATACACAAAGGGGCGAGCCTATCCGTGTACCCATATTTTGCTCTTTAACCTGGCTGTCGAACGTGATAAAAGTCTTAAAATATACTTCCGGGAGCTGGATGACATGCGCTCGATCGAGCTGTTAGTCAACCTCCTCATTTTGTTCTTGGAGAGAGGATGTGATTGAATTGGATGACGAAATCACGTCAAACGACACAAACGCCCAATCTGTCCTATTTCAGAAGTCAAGATCATTTCAGTCGACCTTTCTGTCCGCCCCAAAACCCTACTGGGCAAACAAAGTGGCTGGTGACAGGGGCTAAATTTTGGGCAGCCACGTAAGGAGACGATGGGGCGTAGGATATTCCTGAATCATGAACCTTTGCACGCCATCGCGGCATCCATGATAGTTGCGAGCAGTGCACCCTTTCACGCAAGAGCCCCAGCTTTCTCCAACTTGCATATCGTCCCTTTATGTAGTTTACAGTTTTTTGGGGCTGGCTGGTATCCGTGGGTGCATAAGACTCCTTGACCATCTTTGATTTCACGGTTTTGTGCACGATCGATCGCCGAGCATCCCTTGTCGGTGTGGGCAGGGGGACGGTATTCTTCAACTGTCGTATTTTCCGAAGTTCTCGATCTTCTGCTTCGGAAAGCGCCATCCGGAGTTTTCGTTGGAAGCGTAAATTCGACACTCCCCTCTTCCTGACATTTCTGCGCTCCTCGCCTACCTCACACACCTAAAGTGGTGATTTGAGCGTTGCAATGAAGTCTGTTGGCCGAGCATCGCTTGTGCTAAACTTAGCCCCACAGCATAGAACCGTCCACTGCCGATGTGTGGGACAGTGGGAGGAGAGGAGGTTGTGAACCAGGACTTAATCAGTGAAGTGGTTTTGGTAGGCTTATTCTCCCGTATCTCTCAAACGGTCGTCATAGTGCAGAGGCGTAGGGAGTGTTTAGCGAAGGGCACTCGTGCATGAATGGTAGGTCGTGTCATACTGAAAGCGAATGCTACCGACGGTTCACACCTGGCGTCCAGCTCTCATCTATAGCTCCCCAAAGCTAAGCTCTGCTTGGCGGCCACGCCTCGGTAACCGCTTCGGCCTGCGAGCTAAATCAGATAAGGGGATCCAGTGCTGTGTGAGTCTCACAGAGGGTAACTCCGTTCCCGTTCACATCCCTCCTCCCACCATTGAAAAGGTTCTACAAGGCGATATGCAGTCCTATAGGCGGTCGGGGCTAACTCGGGTCGCTCTCAAATAAACCATGCCCCATAATGGAGTTCGGCATCCTCCTGGGATGTCTAAGTAACCCTTTTTGGGGGAACACCGCTTACTCCCTCGCGAGGAAGGGGCTAGAAAAGGTGTTCTAACCAAATGTTGGAGAATCACATCAGATGAAAACTGACAGTGGGTCATAGATGCAAAACTCATGATCGAAACAACGAGGCGAACAACGGCAATAACAGCAACAACCGTCGTCCACCAGGTTGTTATGGCGAGTGCTCATTCTGGCAACCTGGGATATTCGTTTTCTTGTAAACAATCCATGTAGTAACCGGCCGACAAGGAAAACGGCGTCATTCACTTGAGAACCGGCATGCCACAGGATGGGCATAGCTGGACTCAGTGAGACCCGATTCTCTGAACGGGGTCAGCTGGAGGTGGTGCCGATTACAGCTTCTTCTGGAGGTAAAAGCACAGCGACGTGACGCCGGTGTCGCCTTCGCCACCCGGAAAGACATCGTCGGAGGACTGCCTCATCTGCCGCAAGGCGTTAACAACCGCATAATGACCAGTGTGAGGCCCTGACTGCGATCTTGTAGGATACCAGAAGATACGTTACATACTGTTCTGTCGCATGTGTCTGCACACAGTTTCGATTTCAGCAATTAACTGGCCCAATTCTTGTAAGAGCTGCAGACTCCGGACGACAAGGCCACCGTGGAAACACAGAGGCGACAGCTGCGGAATGTCATCCACTCCACCACCCTGGACGTCCTCGATCGCTCTCGCCCAGGGTCGGCCGGTCTGGAGAATGATGAGGACTGGGGCAGCAATGTATGGGGCCAAATGGGTCGTCGCTGCCAAAGCCAACAGGCTCGCATGCCACAAGGATCCCTCTGGTATCGTTAACATATCTGATGGCAACCGACATGACAACGAACCGCTGACCAGATCGTTGAACTTCTAATCAACAGGCCGCGGGTTCAGGCCCAGGGGTCGCAAAATCGGGAGTTAAGTATGACTGGCCGATGACGGCCATTAAGCCGGAAATGGCCATCTCAGCCTCCCTTCTCTTAGCAGGCAATCCTATTCTAATTATACTAGTAGCTGCCGTGCGGCTGACTGGCGGACCCTAGGTTGAATTGTTCTCTTGATACTTCAAGCTACTGACACTAAACCGTCGACAGACTAAATGAAAACCAGGACAAGTGAAATTGTAATGGGCAGAATGATATTACCGACAAAGACAAGGGAGACTGGAATGGCCATCTCTGGCTTATTAGCCTTCGTCAGCCAGCCATACCCAAGCCGGAAGTGTGGAACACCCGAGCCTCTACTCACCGGGCCACGAGCCCGTTGCCCTGTCGGTTTTCGATCGGGAATATACAATGTTAGGGGGCGCTCACCGATCGTTCATACGGAACGGATCGAAAACCGACAGGGCAACAGGCTCGTGGCCCGGTGAGTAGAGGCGTTGACTTCTAAACCAACAGGTCGCGAGTTCGAGGCTCGGGTGTTCCACACTTCGGGCTTGGGTATGGCTGGCTGACGAAGGCTAATAAGCCAGAAATGGCCATTCCAGTCTCCCTTGTCTTTGTCGGTAATATCATTCTGCCTATATATCATGCGCCGCTGCGCGGCTGCTGGTTGGGCTCGAGAGAGAGCCCTTAAGGCACAACGGAACGAGTGAGTTCCGTATGAACGATCGGTGAGCGCCCCCTAACATTGAAATTGTCATACTAGACCACTTGGGGCGACCGGGCAAACAGGTCATTGAGGTGTGAGAAGGATGGGCATAGAGTCGTGGTTCCTGATAGAGGGTGAGGGAAAGGAGAACGGTTGCAGCTCCCGTGTTGAAGAGGGGGGAGGGAGAGTGGTGGATCAATGGGGCTGTGGGTGGCTAGATTAGTGGTCGTTGAGGTGTGATGTGGTCAGGGGGTCAATGAACCGTGATCGCAAACCCTCGTAATCGGTGTCTAGGTAAACGTGGCGATTAATAATACTCGCACTGGGGTAGCAAGCTTCCAGAAATTCTCTCACTCGTTTTGTGTTAGCAATAGTAGCGACCCCAGTCTCATTCCAATTGAATCGGTGGCCGCAGTCGTGTGCACGGGCACACACGAGGCGGAAGGGGGCATCTCTAAAGGCAACTGGTTTATGTCCAATAATACGAGTGTCCAGGCGTTGACCCGTATGACCAACATACACACAGGAGCAATTAGAGCATGGTGTGCAGCAGACTACGTGTGTTTGTTGCTCTTCGGGGACGAGTTCCTTTATTCGAGATAACGCTGTGAGCAGTTATGGTGGCTTGTGGGTAATGTAGGTAACAAACCGATTTGGTCGCCAGGTAAACACTTCGGCGGTTCCCTACACGTTGGACAGAAAGTGGGAGCTACGATTTGCCTACTGTAGGGGCGGGCCTTCCGGCTGCAGTAAGTTAGTTCTGCCTAAGGAGATCGTCGCTGGTGCATTAACGGCAGGAAGCTACGGTCGCTCAGCTTTTGCAGGCTTACACCCACAAACGGCAGCTGCAGCCGTTCTACCTCACAGTTCCTTATGGCGACAAAGGTGTCACCTACATAGCGAAGCCACATTTTGGCTTGAGAGTTTAAATTATCTCTTCTTCAATTCCTTGTAAGACTAGCTCAGCGAGCAATCCTCATATTGGCGAGACCATTGGGGTTATCTTAACCAGCCGGTAGTAAATACTACCGAAGTGACAGTACTTCCTAAGACGGAGTTTGAGCAGCTCCGAAACATGCTGCGTTGGGATCTCAGAAGGTTTGTTCTGTAAGCGCTGAGCCAATAGCGAAATCGTGTGGTACTGAGGAACACAGGACAGCAACGTCAAAAGATAAGATGCATTCATGAGGGTTTACTTTTAGGTCTTGGATCCTGTACATGGACGCGCGAGAGTTTTTAAAGCTGTATTTAGATACTTGAGTCAGGCACCTTAGACGCCTGTGCAGCCACTTAGCAATACTGCAAGCAAATGATCCGATGAATGGCATTCTAATTCCCAATGAGACATCCGCTTTCTGCACTTGCGGGAGACCATACGCGTGTGCGATACGGGGATCACTGAGAACCATCGACCTGGAGTAATCTGGACTTATGACTTTGAAAGGAGCGAGCCCATAAACTTTTTTTCTCAAAGGCTGCGACTTGATTTTCGACGGTTCTTCAGCAAGTGGTACATGGGTCTTTCTAGTACTGCTTTCATTCGCCTTGTTATCATATTAAATGTTGTCCATGATGACAATGACCCCATCTTTCAGCGAGTACAACAAGAATACTGTTGCTTTTTTAATTTCCACAGAAATTAACTGCGAACTGAGAGTAGATCAGTATATTTAAGGTCTATAGGCTGAAACCAAAGATGTTATGCATGAATATTTGGGTCAAAGTCCATCAGCCACAGCGTATAACCGTGTACTATTCATTAACTGCCGATAGGCAGCTAGTAGTATGCTTTATGGTAAGGTGATTGCATACCAACAGCAAAGGTAGTAGTCAAAAGCCCATACACGCGTGTTTCGCCGATATCCTGCCGCTGCATGACACATCCGCGAGGGACTTTTGGCCACTGCCCGTGTGATATGTAACCCCATGGGGAAACGGTAGTTAGCTGCAAGCTTAACGCCAATCATGGCCATGCCTGTAACGGATGACCCTAACTATTAACACTTAACCCCTTAGGGGTAACTCGAACGTGATCGTAACCTTAACCCGGGCCTTAAAATCCTAGCCCTAATCCCAGAGATCAGCTCTCTTCCCCAACCTCACATTTTTGATGCTGGCATTTACTTTTTGCGGCACATTCTCCAATAAGTTTTCAGGTAGGACTGAAATGCAGCCATTTCTAAGATCGGACATTTTTACTGCAATTTCGCGGAGACGATTGTGAACGCCAGATATAACAACATTCTAAACGAGCCATCCGTATTCGCCCACCATTAACCTTTCAGTCTATTCGGCTACGTCAACTTGAAGCACAGACACTTTGGTGGGGCACCATGCTCGCGACAGCGATGATGAAGGGTCAGTTTCTCGAAACTCGTCACCTGTCTCCGCGAATTCCTGCCCAAAAATATTCTGCACGTATTACGAGTAGATGTAGTGAAAAAAGACGAGGCTTTTTCGGAAAGGAATCAAGTTGTACGCGTGAATTTTCAGGTTAGTGACACCAACACGTCGTTAGACAAAAGAAACCAGGGGAAAAATGGGACTGTCACACTAGACTGGTTGGCACAACAGGACATACGACAGTTCGACCGTCGTCTCCGACAATATCCGCCGTGTGTCTCCGAGCAGGGTTGACGAAAGGACGGTCATTGGCGCATGAATTAGTTTGTAGCGATGGCAGACTTGCGCCGCATCTACCGCAATCTCTCTTCCCCCACCCTCACGGGCCCGGTGTCAGGCCAGAACAAAGAAGACCAGAGATGGGATCGCGTGCAGATGGCTGACGCGGCAGGAGCCTGGGCATAGGCGTGCTACCACACCCTCATCCCGTGCGGATCCTCAATAACACACGCCGGACCCTGATCTGGCCCCCGTGTTGGCCCAGCACAACCTCCGTGTGGCCCGTTATAGGAGGCATAGTGACATACTGTGAAGTGAGGACATACAATGACCATATATAAGAGGCTCACCAAGTAGCAGGAAGTTGGAATCCTTCTCATACTTGAAGGTCAGACGACCATAGCTGACATGGTTCATGTCCTTTAGCCACTCGAAGTAGGAGACAGTCACACCGCCGGCATTGGCAAGCAGGTCAGGCACCACAAGTATGTTCTTTTCTCGCAAAATCTAATAGCAATAAGAGTAGACTAAGGCAAGGCTACTGGGGACGATATAGGCAGGGAGTGAGGGGAGGGATCTTCGATAAAGCAGCCCACCTTGTCAGCCGGAGGTGTTGTGGGTCCGTTTGCACCCTCAGCTATCAGCTTAGCCTGGATGCGTTCGGCATTTGCCACGGTAATTTGGCGCTCACTGGCAGCAGGCACAAGAATGTCGCACTTCTCGAAGAGCAGCGAGTCCTTGGTATAGGGCTGCGCACGAGGGAAGCCGACAATTCCTCCGTGGGCCTAGAAGTGGGCGTAAGAAGTCAACAGGGCAAAATCTCAAACACAAAGTTGGTCAACACTTGCGAATGATGACAGGTGGTCATCGGGAGATAGCTCAACGCAAGGTCGGCTACATTGGAGAGAAATGGCTATTTAAAAAAATTTGCAGCACCTGATAAACGGGAATCCTATCCTCAAAGAACCGTTTTTAATACTGATTTCAGCTTTTCTTTTAAGGCTGAATTATTTTGACGGTATAAAGCATCCCATCGATTCAGGAATGCATACTCACCGCTGTGACCCAGGAAAAGTCGAATGAACCCCGAGGCCAGAAATAATACCTAAGTGCTGGTGTGTGAAACTCAGTCTGACATTAATGCATTTACTGCTGTTTGTTTGCTTTTAACTGAGGGTTTTTCTGGGCCTCTATGAAAACCAAACTATCTTAGGCAAAGAATTCTAAGTCAATGGCGACCTTCCGCAAGCCAGTCTTTCCGGTAAATTCTCATCAGACCAGTATAATTGTGCACCAAATTAGTATCTAGGTGGCGTGGAAAGTTTTCTTGGCATAACTGACTTATGTGGCCCTCTTAAAAGAACTTGGTAGTAGGAACACCCTGCCCATAATTCCGGGAAAGACAAAATATTCCCGTGTTCTAACCCTAACACTACCCTAGGCCTTAATTCTTCAGTTAACACTGGCCCTTACCTTAATTCTAACCCTCATTTCACTGGACGTTGGCTCAAAGCCGACCCTATTACGGGAGGTTCCCGTTCTCATATCCTGTTTTGGGGGGCATGTAAGTCAGTCATACCGTTTTCGGGATGGAGGAAATTAAGATTCACATTTCATGGCGCCATATTGTCTGACAACTGACTGATTATCCGGGAACGACCAGAACCATACTTTCTGGACAGAATACTTTTGAGTGCACCGGACAGGGGGTCGGATTGTCGCCGTCGGTGGTTTGGGAGTACGCTGTAGGTAAACGTTCGGACAGGTACGCAGAAAACGATGAGAAAGGACATCCATAGTGTATTGGCGTGATTTATTTGGACGTTGTTGTCAGTGGAAATTCCTGTCATCATCAAACGCCGGCTTACAACTCACCCATGGGGAAAGTAATACTTCACAGTCGTGTACTGAGGAACGATATCGACCGATGTTTCTCTGAAGGGTCTGGTTATATTCTCTCGAATTCTCATCATAGAGCGAAAATATTCCTCGAGAACCTCTGAAAATAACCCGCAAACGTTTTGCCATGAAGTGGGGTATTCTTCTCCCCCTTCCCCTTCAACCGTACCAATAATGCCAACTCCTGGTTTGACGTTTGTTAAACAATTCTAAATTAAAACAGATGTGGTGTTATGACAACTATTCCTGCAAGACCGTACAGCATCAAGATGAACTGTCATCAGAAGTCTACTACAACAGCGCCTCATTTATGCCTTTTGTCCGTTCTCAACCTTCATTTGAAAAGCAACAAATCGAAGCACACCTAGAGTGCTTATTTATGGCACTGAAAATACCAATCAGCGTTCTGGCCCCATGACATATCAAAAAGAGAAAACGATTCAATGCAACCGTTATTCATTTCCAATTCCCATCAGTGCTCAAGAGTGTTGTCAAAAAGAAACAACAGAGATTATCCAGTCTTCCTATGCGCTTCAGGAAGTATTACGAGACTACATGTCCACCCATGCCTTCTAGTAAAAACAAGTCGAGATGGTATCTCAAACATCTTACAGACACAACTAATGTCACTCGATGCTTTGACCTCCTAACTCTGGTCGTCTGCAAACCTTCATTCGGCAAGATCAACGCAAACCGAAGCAGAAGTCTGAGGAACAGACTAAGCCACGCATGTTGAGTCAAAACATCCCCCTTCCCTCATACACATACGTGCTCAATATCTAATGTCGATAGACCACTGAGTAAACCCACTCGCACAGCAGGTCCACCATCCAGTCTTGACGCGGCCCATCGGGCATGTCATTATCGATCGTGCTTGGGGGGGGGAGCTTGGTGTGATAGCCGCAACGTCCAGTCGTTCAGTCAAAAGCTTGCTGGCTCAGCAAGTCATCAGGCAACATGTGGCGTGTTGGGAGACGCAGAGGTCAGATTAAAAAGGCAATGGCTGTGGACAGAAATAGTGTTTTGAGGTTGATAAGGTGGTATTCGACTGGTGGAATTGTAAACAGGCTCCTGAAAGTGAGCGTCCCCAAAAAAACCAAATAATACGCGGGGAACAGAAGCCGTTTAGCACAGTGCGTAGAAGACAAATTCGTTTGCATTTGGGTCTATACTACACAGACGTATCTGATCTCCGGTATCCTCAGGCAAACTGAGACGTCAATTGAACGAAAAGGGCCTGTGATCAAAGCACCCCCCAGGTTGTATATTTGAGTGAGGAACACAGGAAGGTGTGGATGGATCATACAGGTCGCGAAGTGATGCCAATGGGATCGACGCCAGGATGGACGATTTTGTGTTTGGGTAACACAGAAATTCGAGCACAGCGTAGCTCACTTATCCCATCACCTCAAATAATGGAGTTTCCGTTCGTGGGGCGAGTGTTTTATGAATGAATGTTCATTTCCTGTACTTATTTTGCCATGCCTCTAGGCATACATAGGCCCCGCACGTAACACTCCTATTATCGCCTTTCCCGTAAGACAGGTACCTTTGGCTGGTCGTGTGCGTGTTTGGGGTGCTTCACCCGATTGTTGCCAGATCCTAACTGATGGTGAATGCTGCAATGTTCCCGAATCCTATTTGTTATCATGACCTGTTGACGGGACATTGCCGCCTAAAGGACGGCAATGTCGGACTTCCTGGTTCTTTTACAGGGGAGCTTTTCAAGATTGTGCGTAACATACGTTCTTAATGTAACATTTCTAGTTTCTTTGCAAAGTAGCATTGGTCATTTGGATAAAAGCTTCTTACCTGATCGTGTTACCTGATCATGTCGGCCGAAAACAGCCTACTGATGACTATTGGCTGTTGACAAGTTGATTGAATGCGTTTTGTTAAGCATGTTCATAATCCCCAGACAATGAAGATCGTTCAGATTTCCTCACAAACTTGTGCCAGCCTTTCTCTATTATGCCTGTGACGACCGAGGAGAGATCACAACAAGTGTGAACTTACAGAATGCTGCGTATTTGATCGAGTGCTTATTGTACCGTGTCCATGCTCGCAAGGGATTAGCCGTTAACCGCTCTAGATTTACCCTCTCCGAGATACGCTGACATATGCTCCCGTATTCTGTTCAATAGGAGCCGACTACGAAGGGGAAGACGCAATCGTTGGAACAAGAGGTTTATTGGCCTGACGCTTCGGATTCTCACTCGAACTCGTCATCAGAGACAATAACAGGAAAAAGTAGTGGAGGCAGAAGTAACGCATTGACCAGGTGATCACGGGCCTAAAATAATTGCTAGCACTCACGCTTATCGCTGGAGTGTCGTATTTAGTGTGATGATTGTTTGCCGGTCCGCAAACGAGTCGTTAACTGCCGTGATTTCATCACCATCGCTGATTCTTGGCGTGAAGATGACTCAGAGTCAGCCATCAGGCACCAGATCATGAAGCCGAAAGGCCTTCTGCCACGGCAGGAAACGTCTGGAGTCGTTTACTGGGTCTGATGCAGTTGCGGACAAAGTAGCTACGTCGGAAAAACTGGGGGATCATTCTAAACGCGAATAGCCGAACATGCAGCGGCAATGAGGAGAAATGGCGCTAGCTCCCAGATCGCGGCTCATTCAACGGGATCCGGCCACACCTGCCAGTTTTACAAGACCGAAATCCTCGTAAGAGAAGACAACCGCGTGAGTTGCAAGCTGGTTGAGTCTTGGTCCTCTGGCCCGCAGTCAGCTAACGAGCACAATGACCTCCCACCTTCATATTCTGCACTGTGGTTTTGCCTAGGCAAAATTACTAACCGCGCGGGGAGGGCGACCAACGATTCCGGTGGCAGCAAGCTAAATCGTCCGGTAATCGCCACACCAAGAATCAACAAAGGGGAAGGGATCATGGCAATTAACGACTCAAGTACGGACCAAAAAACAATCACCACATTAAATGCGACACCCTGGCGATGAACGCCAGTGCTGCTAACTAGCGTAGGCATGCCGTTGTCGGTCAACTTTGTCCTAAAAATACTGCGCTAAGTGTGCCTTTTTTATCCTTTTCTGCGCCTGTTCCTGACGATGGGATCGAGTGACGATCCGAAACGCCGGACCAATAGCCTTCTTCTTCGTCTGAAATGCGTCCTGAAACTCGCCTCTTTGCTTCTGTCGTGGAAGTGCCGACTCGTTCGACTAATACGGCTAGCTCCAAGTGAAGGAGCAATTGTCAGCTGGACTGGTTCACCTCTGTATTGTAGTTTGGGTAGACTGAAAAAGATGCCTAAAGACTGATACAGCAACGAATCCAGGTTTATTCACATCTTCTTCCGCTAGTTACATTCCTCGACAACGCTCGTGGCCTGAAACACAAAATACGCCCTCGGCAGCTCTATTAATAGTTCGTCCGCTCTGCGACCTGACAGATGGTTGCCTGTTCTTGACCTCTATCACCTCCTCCGAACACGCCAGCTCCAGAGAGTCAAACGTATGGATGCACACAGAGTCCTATGAATAAACACCATATCGACCCCCCGAACGAGACTGGCCAAGGTGAAGTAATGACGAAACTTGGTTTGGTCGTGAGGGTGGACGATCGGTTTGACCTAATTTGTGAACAATCCGTGTAATGTGCACAGGCATGTCACGTCTCCGATCTCACGTGCTGGCGGAATAAGACAAGAATAGGCCCTAAATAGCTTCTGCCTTGGACTCGCCCTGGCTCCATCAGTGAATATCCGCAGGAATGTTCGTTCCCGTTTGAACAATACGATGACCAGCCGATCGGAGGACAGTTGTGGCTCGCTGAATGGTGGAAACTGCCGCCTTCGACGAAACGCACTTCTTCCGACAAGGAGAAATGGGGGAAGTGGGTTGCTTGGTGTACATTCTTTTGGGAGCGGGCATCCAAAGACGCAGTGTCAGAAAGCGGGGGTTGCCTTCGCTATCAAGAACAACGTCTTGAGACAGCAGTTCTGCCTGGTGCAGGACATAACCGGTCGTCTCGTAACCACTAGATCACACTACCTCAAGCAGCTATACCACGACGATATTGTTACTGGCGCTCGCTGACAAGGCGAATAGGGACGTCGCTAAAAGGACACCTTAAAGACAACTCTAGAGAACTTCCAAATCGACAGTGAGACCGGGGGGTGCAAAGATCAAGATCGGCAGGTGTAACGCACCAGCATAAAGACTGGAGCGATCATCTTTGAAGTCAACTGAGTGGCCGCTGCCACCGAACATCCTGAGCACAGGTCGGCCTCGTGGGACATCTCTATACCGAATGCGATATCAACGTGTCACCCAGCTCTGGAAAAGCTTTCACCACCACCACCACCACCACCGCCGCCGCCATCATTATCATCATCATCACCTATTCCACTATTAATGTGGCCCTATCCCAATCCGTGCCACTGTTAGGGCATTTTCAAATCGCTCATCGTCCTGGTCGCTCACTTGCGAATCCATCGTGTTGCGGCTGGCAAACCAATGGCCGGAGCTCCGACATGCGCCTTCCATACACACCAAACCCGCCCATACTGCTTTCTTACATACAAGCCCCGCCACATGCGCATACATGGAAATATTCAATAAAACAATACTTCGTCTTGCACGTGCGCACACAAACCCCCTCATACTACTTCATAGTTCGTGCATGCGTGACACATCTCTCCCACAGCCTGTACAGTAGGTGGGTTAACTCATGAAATGTCAACCGAAATTCCGAAATTCGTTTTCGTTTCCAAAAGATTAATTAAGCAGGGTTTTAAAACCCATCATTATGCAGCATAATGCTATTACAATTCAGCTACCTCAGGATGCCGGCTGTCAAACGAACTTCTTTTCGGCTGCACGCAGGAACTATGCTCTGCAAAAAATGACTGCATAAGAAGCATGCATTTCTCTCACTGATTTTCGATGTCCTTAAAAAGTCAATTATATCTCTTGGAAAACATGCATAAAAATATTCATTCTTCTACTCATTCAGTAGGAAATTACGTCGTCTTTTAATTTTATATTCGATGGAAGGGTATAATTTGGTTTTAAAAAGTTTCTAATTCTGAGATTTTTTAATACCGTGAAATGGCCGTTCATAAAACGTCATGTCTCTGCATTTACTAGTGTTGTTTTCAAAGTTATCAATGTGGCTCAAATCCACTGCTAAATTTTATGAACCCCATATGATCTCCTCTGAATACTGTAGAGAAACGTGTGGTTGTCCGTACGCGAAAAATATACGGCTTGTAGTTTGGAAACCCTCAATGCAAGTGTAACGGCAGGTCGAGTTCAAAATTAGCCGGGAATTGGAACAGTTTTTTAAAACCGAATAAAACCCTTTCATCGAGTATAAAATTGAAAGAATACGCAATTCTCTGCCGAATGAGTAGAAGAATGAATATTTTTTGTGCATGTTTTCCATGAAACTTAATTGACTTTCTAAGGACATCGAAAATCAATGAGAAAAATGCATGCTACTTATGCAGTCATTTTTTACAGAGCGTAGTTCCTGCATGGAGCCGAAAAGAAGTTCGTTCGACAGCCAGCATCCCGCGGTAACTGAATTATTATAGAATTATGCTGTTTGATAATTAGTTTTACAACCCTACTTGGTTATTTTTTTGAATCGAAGACGCATTTCAGAATTTTCGTTGAAACCTATTGTATGTGACTCATTTGGTCAGTTTCGGTAGGACGGGCGAGAAGCCGTATGCAGGAGTGTACACATCTCACTTACGTTGGAAGCTTGCTCTTCGGTGTAGTCTCGCAAATGTGACCAGGTCGTGCGCGGTAGACGCCTCCAAAACGGGCCACAGGGTAGATGCGCTGGGCCGACACGGGGTGGGAGGGGGGGGCGTATTGGATTCTGGCAGGCGTTGGCGGGAATGAAGACCCATAACAAATGTCAACATTCTGGGTGCCGTGGTAGGCCCAGTTGCCGACTCACGTCGCGTCAATCGAGATCCCTGACGCCTTCCCATTTTTGTTGTTAGTTAAAACCCCGGTCAGGCGTTTGTTGTGGGCCAGGAAGTGTAATGGCGCGCCTAGATTCCGGGTCCAGCCGTACCAGCCACCTGCGCCCCCCTCTTGACATCGGGCCCAGGTGGGGTAGAAGCTGCGAAAGCCCACTCTCACTAGTAACTAACTCAGGCACAAATAACCGTGTCTGCTGCACCTTGTTGTGGAACACACGATGGACATCGTCGAGTGCGACGGTCGAACTGTCGTGTGGCACGTGAGGATGGATGGTTTAGCTCTGTTTAGCCCCCTGATTGCCATCAAATGTGAGGAGAGAGAGAGAGAGAGAGAAAGAGGAGAGAGAGTAAAACAGACGCAGCCCATGCGTAGGTCACACCTACGGCCACCTTGTGGGGCATCGGTGGACATCATTCGCGTTGGTCGAGCTGGCATTACTTTCACAATGCCAAATGACACCGGAAATGCGTGCTTGCGATATAGTTTAGTGAAAAATGGTCCACTTCTTTGTTGTTGAACAAGAGCGCCTTGGAAATGGGAGCCTTTCATCAGCTTCTGTTTAGGAAAAGAGCTGCATTTCTGGCAGAAAACTGTAGAAACCTTTCACTATGTCCATTTGACTACACTCGCCTCATTAATGTAGATTCAGTGACCGATCTCATGAAACGTTAACTGGAAATGCGTCTTCGACAGGGAAGAATTACTTAAATGGGGGTGTAATAGTGATTATCTTGCGGCATAATTTCGTGATATGTCTGACATGCCAGGATGTTGGCTTTTGAATAAACTTCCTTTGGCCGCCTGCAAAGACTGCACTCGGTAGAAAATGACTACTTTATTAGTATGCATTTTCTCTATCGATCGTCGATGCCCTTATAAATCCTAATATACTTTGTAGAAAACATGCATAACAATATTCTTCTTTGTACCCGTTCGGTAGCAAATCACGTCCTCTTTAAACTTATTACTCGAAAAAAGAGTGTTGTTCAGTTATAAAAAAGCTTCTAATTATGAGATTTTTAAGACCGCAAGATTCGAAAGACACGCCCCCTTCAAGTATAAAATTTGATGAAGAGATGCTTTGCTACCAAATAAGTGCAAAAATAATATTTTAGGTAGGTTCTCTATAGAAGGTACTTAAACTTACAAGTGCATCGAGAAATCGATGGAAGAAAGACACAGTATTTAAGCAGTCACTGTTCCCGACTGGCTTTTTGGACGGCCGAAAACAAGTGCATTCATTGGCCTACATCCCGGAATGTATAAAGTATT